CAAAAGAATCAAAGACATATTTCACTCAAGTGAAAAACGTATAAGTTCTTTAAATAATTCCTAGCTACTCCCGGAATGCTGTTCAAACAGTCAGCATGTATATCACAATAATTAGATATGACATTGAAAGCTTCACAGATTCCATATTTGAGTACGTTCAAAAATAAACCCCTGCAACAATAAAAGGTTTTAACGATACGAGTTTGAATAGATGAGGCATTAAAGCATTACGTTAAGCCACAAGCTCATTAGCATCAATTTGGTTGTGCAGCAGTTTATGCTAGAAAATGATTGACGCACACTTCCTTCTCAGTTCAAAAGACTGCATTTGAAACCTAGACAATAACAAACTTTAAGATATACCCTGCTTAGGCTATGCACCATCAACCTTGAAAGATAAAAATTTGAGAAACTTTCTCTGAACACACTCAAGAGAATCAATGTAGCAGTTTTAAATTGGGTTCCAAATTAACGATGCATATTCCAATTTCGATCTGATATATGCAGAATACAAAACCAACAGTAACTCTGGGCGGTGGGAGCTTATGCAGTTATTCACAAAAAAAAACCTACGCCCCCGAAGCTTCTCTTACCTTTTGTGCTATATGGAATCTTGTGGTCAAAAACTACACCCAAATCCTTAATTGAGTCACAACGATTTATGTAAACATCCCCAATCTTATAACTAAATTTACAAAGAGATGTTTTCCTCGAAAAGCTGACTACACTACACCTGGATGCATTATTCTCGGCACACCAAGCTAATAAAGCATCAATATCTCGCCGAAGTGCAATACAATCAGCCTTATAATGAATAATCCTGAATAATTTTTAATCATTCGCAAACGTTACAACTTAAATATTGAGCAAAATGATCAATAGATAAGGTAAACAATAAAGGACCAAGGTTTGAAGCCTGAGGCACTCCCGACTTAGTTACACACTGATACGTTAAAGCCATTGAAAGTAGCATTGCTTCCTTTTATAAATATAACTTTGAATGAGTGCTAAAGCTGATGAATGGAATCCATAATGACAAAGGTTATTTAAAAGTATGCCATGGTCCACCCTATCGAACGCTTTAGCAAAATCAGTATTGTGTATACTATATCTAGTTGACCTTGCCGATCGACACATTCAATTGAGTAAAGATTGCTAAATTAGTTACTGTGGAGCTTCTAGTAAGAAATCCTTGCTAAAGTGGTGACAGAGGTCTGTGAACTGCGAAGTAAATTCTATCATCAAATACCATCTCCAGCAATTTGGAGAAATTTGGCTTTGGACTGAGCTTTTCAGTGGACTTGTTTACTTTCTGTCATCCGTCTCCAAATGACTGGACCTATACCTTACTCATTATTGCTTAACAGCATGAAACAATATGGTATTTGGTTGGCTATGGTTGACGAAAAGCAAACAAATCCTATTCAGCCAGCGTTATGTATGTTACCTAGCTGTGTGCGCAATATAAAAAAATAATATGGAATATTTTGTTACAGGAAGGAATGGGGCAACTTAAAATAGTAACAGGAGGAGTGAGACTGGACGGAAAAGCGTTCGTTTTAGACAGCCTTATAGCAAGTAGTATAAAATCTAGGAGTTACCAGCCCATTGTAATAGAATCAACCAAGAACCTCACCTTGAAATCCAGGAACAAGGAGGGGTACCTAAGTAGTAGATTAGTATTAGGTAAGTAATCTTTTACTTTAAGAATATAGTGTCATCACGATAATAGGATTGTGTAAGCAGGTACCCAAATACACGGGAAGTGCCGATTTTTTTTCTAGATCTGTTAAATAAAGTTCTCTTCAATGGTATCACATTTTATAAACTTTGTATTGCAGTGGATCTTCCATAGTAGTAGACCTTTAGCACATTAATTGCTATTTTCACTTGTATCATAACATTCACTAGTTACTCTGAAAAGTTCATACCAGATTCCCAAAATGTAACGACGACATACATTTAAAATCTCGATGTTGCGACGTACGGTGAGGTTCAAACTTTGGTCACGCCGTAATGTGTATGTGACGGAGTATGATAGATGGAGTGCGCGGCAAGGTGTTTACGTAAAAAGCTCAAAAGGTCAAAAAAAAACTAAAGAATGTTAACTTATCGCCTAGATAGTTCCTAGTATGCAAACATTGATAGCTGGAGCATCATGAAGTTTAGGCAACTCGTACAGCTACGGAACGAGAAACACGTCAAGTGTAGAACAGCTAGTGCTAAGTTTACATCTTGTAGAAAAAACTATATAATCTCTGGAAAAAACCTATATAATGTCAAAAAACGACATTATGTCACTTTTCAAGATACGTAATACCCTGCCGATGGCAACGCGACAAGCCACAGCTTCTCGCGCTTCTTTCTCGTACACATTACGACGTCCATCAGTGGTATATGGATTTCACTGTATTTAAGCCTTTACTACATATATGTCAGTTTTCCACCATTTTGTACAATAAATAACGATAGTGTTTCTCTACTTGCAATATAAAAAAATTTGTTTCCTTTGTTACAGAAAATGATAGACTAGAATGTTTAACAAATAATTTCAAAATCATGGATGACCGAGGATCACTACTATTCTCGGCGAATAGGAAAGAAGTGCTTGTGGGATCGGAAACGCTCCACGTTACAGGAGAGGGGGGCACAATCTTGAGAGGTTCCATTCAAACTCGGTTGGTCAGAGCAGAAGCTGGACATGACTTGAGGTAAGTTTATGTTTAAGTGTACCTATTTTGAGGCAGCAGAATTTTATTGTATACATTCGGTGTCCTCAAAGTTAGACCTTTCCTTTACAAAGCATATGGGACAGGCAATAATAAACAACCTTTCCTATCAACACAAATATCAAAGCTTTAAGATAACCGAGATATCAAGTTCCAAAAAACTCCTAATGCGCCAGCCCGACCCTGCCTCCTCCCCGTCCTCGTCCTCCATGAAAAGGTATGATGTTTTGTGGTACTGTCCAAATGAGGCCCCGTTTATGAGCAAGTCACATTTGAGTAACCGAAATTAACACATTCCCAGAACAATAACATAGTTATTGATTTGATATTAGTTCACTGTGAACGTCTTCAAGATCCTATTAATACAACGCGAGTGAATTCAGAACGTCGTCCATCAGATTTGCGCAAGCTTGTTTATATAGTGATAAGCCGTCTGGATAGCCATAGTAGAAGACCTAGGCAGTCCTAGATGTTTCAAAATTAGGGAAAAGTGCTTTTGAATCGAACAACGACAAATCCAAATATTATTTACAAACAAAACATGTGACAGGACGGTACTTGAAATTCCTTACTAGGATAATAGTGAGTGTCTTTTTGCCATTTACTCCTTACGTTTTCGGTGCCTTTTAATGCAAATTACCTGCCGTATTTCGAACGTACTTGTATCTGAAAAGGAAAGTCCTAATTATAGTAGGAAATTATAAAAATGTTTTGAGTCAGCACTTGTCGGACGTCGAGCGACAGCGCAGCAGTCACAAGACGTAGACTGCATTGTAGCTCGAACTTTCAACTTTTTCTGTCACTGCGTTGTATTGCTTGTTGTTTGTTGTCATCTAGAGTCAGATTTGACCCATGTCTGATGAGTGATAATTACATTGAAAGAAACGTTTTAATACTGCTCTTTTATTACATATATTAATGAAATCAGGATTACCCGTAACAACAAATGTACCCCTTAACGGACGACTGACAACTGTGTGACCGGTCGCCAAGGTTTGAACAAGATTTCGACGAAACAGCGGAGAAATGCTGACGGCTAAGGTTACTTCTATAAATTCACAATATTTCAACTGATGGAGGTCTAGGACAGTTACACTTTATTTATTACATACCGGTCGCGACTTGTAATTTTGCCCACTTCTAAGTCCCTCTATAGATATATAACAAAAAGTAGAAAAATAATGGGCAAAATCCGCAAAAAAGAGGAACGTGGATTCGAGCAAAAAATAGGATAGGTAACCCGAGCGATACATATTTCTGCTGGTTGGCTTCATCAGGCCCGAAATGAATGCACATATGAAACCACAAAAGTAGATACACATTCATCGGAAAAGAGCTGTTCCCTCTCGAAACACCATCCTTCGTTGGGTTGAATCACTTCGCAGGCGTGGTGAACTGATCAACAGAAGACCAAGAGGAGCGCCGCGAACAGTTCGAACTCCTGAAAATGTTGAACGCGTTCGACAGGTCTTTCTTCGCAGTCCGACTCGATCTGCCCGGAGACATGCTACTGCACGTCGCCTTAGTGATCGTTCGGTAAGACGAATTTTGCATATGGACCTCCGCTTTCACCCCTACAAATTGGCCATTGTACAACAGTTACAGCCCGGAGATTATGCACAACGAATGAACTTCGCACGTGAGATGGAAGCACTGATCGATCAAAATGAGAACCTCATTTTGTTTATGAGTGACGAAACCCACTTTCACCTAAACAGTATGGTTAACCAGCAGAATCATAAGATCAAACGAACTTACCTGTGATGTTCGATCTTGATTATATAAAGGCCCCGTCGAAGAAAAATAGTAATACGTAGTATCTCCATCTCTAGCGAATCGGTCATACATTTCAAAGCAAACATAACCCCTCCCGCCGCTCCCCGCTGCCGTCATAGTACTCAGTCCATTTTAAAGCTGATGAATTGTTGCAATTATATTTTTGGGGAATGGGATGGGTTGGGACCCTATTTTTCTTCGACGGGCCTTTATATAATCAAGATCGAACATCACAGGTAAGTTCGTTTGATCTTATGATTATATTCGGCCCCGTCTCGAAAAATAGTAATACGTAGATATTTAGAGTTTATTGCAACAATTAGAGACTGCATACATTGCGAATTTTCTATTCCAAACAGAAAATGAACTACCTATATAATATTACATATTACCTATGGTAGGTATGTCATTTATGTTCACAATGTCATATTACATAAGTAATATAAGTAACAATAATAATAGTAATAGTAATAATGGTGTTAGTTAATAGTAAGTAAGTAATATATGTAACGTAATTATAACCCTGTAAGTAACATCATCTTTTAGAAAAAAAATTTAATAACTAACATGTAAGTACAGCTTCTGCACATGTTTGATCTGAAAATAGTGGCCTATTATATACTTGAGCAAACATCCTAGAGTCTCTAGACCAACCCGCGGAAAGACGAATTGTGTCCATATTTAGCCCTTTTCTTTTTGCAGCAGACGTCGCCGCATGCCTGGTACTGTGCGCAGAAAATTTGTGTACGTCAATGCCACTTTTTTCTAAAATAATCTTAATCCAGCGACTTAAGGTCTGCGTAGATGCTTTACAGTAAGGCATTTTGCTGGCTAGAATTAAACTTGTTTCAGAACCCCTTAGATTTTCTGTTTTTTCTAGATAGGTAAGGATTACCCTAGCCACACAAACTTCCGGATCCGAGTTTAAAAAAGGAAGGTGGAAAAATGGCTGGGATCGATCTTTACCAGAGGTCTTAATTCTTTGGGGCACCGCTATATTTATTTCGATCTCTGATTTACAAATGTGCGTGATTTCTATAAGGGCTAAAGTTTGAAGACGTTGACCTGTGGCCAATGCTAAAAGGGTTACAAGTTTTTGGTTCAATTTCCTCAAAGTGATATCTTTGTTTTTCCATTCCCTTAGAAAATTTAAAACTACTGCTGGATCCCAAGTATTTTGATATTTCGGTAAACTTGGTCTAAGCATATAGACTCCTTTGAAAAATTTCTGAATCCTGTAATCCTGTGCCAAGTCTCGCCCCGCTACTTGAGCTATAGCAGACCGATAAGTATTTAAAGAACTATAAGATGCTCCTTTCTTAAAATGATAGGTTAGAAACTCTAAGACGGTTACTACTGAAACCGAATAGGGATCTGCTTTCTTGGTAGAGCAATAGTCCCACCATAGTTTTAAACCCGAACTATATTGCTTTAAGGTAGACTCTGAGATTGAGGCCATGCAAATCTCCAAGGAGTCGGTTGGCACTTTGCCTAGCTTAAGCGCTTCCCGGATAATCGACCTGCCATCAGTGAAATGTGTTCCGATAGCGGATGTGGAATTCTGCCAAAAGATAATAAGTCTGGTTTAGGTTCAAGAATCATAGGTTCAGATATTAACAGAGACGTAAAAACTGGATACCACGGTTGTGCTGGCCAATTGGGCACAACCATGATCCCTTCCGCTTGGTCATTAATTATTTTCTGTAGGGTACTTAAAATTACTGAAAATGGGGGAAAAGCGTAAAAAATAAATTTTCCCCAGTGTATGGTAAAAGCATTTATTGCCATAGCATCAGGATCCCTAAGCCATGAAACATATTTCCTACATTTATTATTTATCCGACTGGCAAAAAGATCAATTTCTGGGTTACCTAGCACTGCGGTCAATTTATTATAAGCCGAGTTATGAAGTGACCATTCCGTGTCGATTTTCAACTCACGTGAAGCCCTATCAGCTTCCACATTATCTGATGACCTAATATATGAAGCCATCAAATAAATATTCTTACGTTCGCACCATTGCCAAATTTTGCGGGTAAGATCATTTAATTTTGGATATTGCACACTTCCCATGCGATTTATGTACGACATAGCCGTAGTGTTGTCTACCCTGCATAAAATTGAACAATTAGATAGATCTTTAGCAAAACACTTTAATCCAATGAAAACCGACAGTAATTCTAAATAATTTATATGATGATTATTTTTCTCTTCTTCAGACCAAAAACCGTGTGAAATAGTATTATCGCAGTAAATACCCCAGCCAGTATTAGACGCATCTGAAAAAATTACCTTTTCAAATTTGTCCTTTCTAATAAAATTTGCAGTATTAATTTCTAATTTATTTATCCACCAGTCAATTTCACTAACAATTCTATTAGAAATTTTCATTACAGCATTATAAGACCCATTATGTTGTCTAAGAGCTAAATATTTTTCTCGCTCCATTGATTTCGTGTATAAATACCCATACCTTATGGCTGGACATACAGGTATTAATCTCCCTATTATTTTAGAGAAATCCCTAATCTTGCACTGTTTCCAGTTCTTAAAGTGTTTCAATATTTCGATCAGTTTCTGACGCTTTTCTATTGGTATTGAAACAGTCATATATAAGGAGTTATACTGAAAACCTAAATAAACACAAGTCTTTGAAGGGACTAAGACACTCTTCTTATGATTAATAATGAATCCTAAATGTTCTAAAATAGAAGCAGTGCTAGAGACATTTAGCAAACAATCATCATAGGTCCTACCAATTAATAAAAAATCATCCAAGTATACCACTGACGTAAATCCTTTTATCCTGAAATAATACACAATAGGCTTCATTAACTTTGTAAATAACATTGGGGCAAAATTTATACCAAAGCAAAGGCAGTTGTATTGATAAAGTTGTCCCCTAAAATAGAACCTTAAATATTTTCTATCCTTATTGCTCACGGGAACTAGGTAATATGCATCCTTTAGATCTAATTTAGACATGAAACAATTCTGGGTAAGCAACTTGAAAACCGTTTTATGGTCTTCTAACTTAAAATGGTTTGTTTCTAAAAAAACATTTAACTTTTTTAAATTTAATATTAGACGAAAAGTACTATCTGCCTTGGGAATTATAAAAATGGTTGATATAAATTGACCCTCACAAGGTTCCACCTGTGAAATGGCTTGAATTTGCAATAAGTTTTCAATAGAGTTCGAAATTATAACCTGTTCTTTTACCATTCTTATTCTTTTGGGACTATTGTTTGCTTAGGTAATTTAAGAAAGGGTAGCCTAACACCTTTTAACCAAGACAAAATACGTGTATCTTTGGTAAACTGTAACCAGCGAGCTGTAAAATACTTTAAACGTCCTGCAATCTTATTTACCTCTAATACTTGCGGTATTTCTTCGCATTCTTGTATTGACCCAGTCGAGGATATTCCCCCTGGCGATTGTACCGAGAGTTGTACTGCTTGCTGGAACCCGGATTGCTGGGATTCTGATTGCTGGGATCTTGGCGATATCGTCCACCTAGTTTGGCTCCCCGTTGATAACTGGATGGACTTCTGTAGTTTAAAGTATTTTTTGAAATAGTTTTCTTTGGCTGTGGCGCTTTAACTATTTTCAATTGCTTGGATGAAAACTGTAGACTCTTTGCAGCTTTTAATCTTTCTTCCAAATCCTCCCCGAAGAGCCATTCATCAACAGGAGAATCAATTAGAGTCTCTTTCCATTCCTTATTCAAGTTTAGTATGGCAAGCTCCTTTCTAGATACACTGAGTGTATGGTGGACATCCGACAAAAGGCGTCCCGCATCGCTTAATTTTTCTATTAGTTCTGTATTTCCTCCCTCTGTTTTCAATAAGTCTGAAATAACAATTGCAATTGCAGATAAGCCAGATCCTACTTGAGCCTGCTGACAACTGAGACGAGAATCTCTTTTTGCTACCGAATCCACAACAGCTTGTTTAACCACCGCATTTAGCTTTGGGGCTCCAAAATTATGGGCATTCTCCGGAGGAGGGTACTTTTTCATAATATCACGCCTCTTTTCATCTTCCAATTCTTTATTAATTACCGTTTTCCATCTGTCGGCTACATCCTGTTGGATAGAGGGGCCCGTAGTTTGTGGCAATTCCACTTCGTCCCCCAAGGCTAACAATATGTCATCATTAAGTTCGCCAACATTATTTCCCTCATTTGTTACATGAAAAGAATTTACTTTCTGATGCATTGTACTTTATTATAATTTAGGGTCTGACTAGCTAGAATGACTCTTACATTGATCAATGGTGTTCTCCGGAAAGCTGAAGTTGCATTAATATTGGAATATAATGTGGCAAAAAACCCAAAAAAGTATATATACATATATATATATATATATATATATATATATATATATATATATATATATATATATATATTATGTTTGCTTTGAAATGTATGACCGATTCGCTAGAGATGGAGATACTACGTATTACTATTTTTCGAGACGGGGCCGAATATAATTGTCGTTATTGGGCTAATGAAAATCCGCAACAGTTACACGGAAGACCGCTGCACAGCCCAAAAGTAACGGTTTGGTGCGCTGTATCGCAAACTTGCATCATTGGCCCTTACTTCTTCGAAGACGGTAATGGTCGTGACGTTACCGTGAACTCAGAGCGCTACGTCGACATGATCACCAACTTCTTTCTCCCTGAATTACGACGGCGGCAGCAGGATGGGGCGACCGCCCACACAGCCCGAGCATCCATGGACGTTATTCGCCCTCTCTTCCCTGGTCGCCTTGTTTCCAGGTTTGGCGATGTTCTTTGGCCTCCTCGGTCCCCAGATTTATCCATATGCGATTTTTTCTTATGGGGACACCTCAAAGCTAGAGTATATGCGAACAAGCCCCGAACTCTGGACAAATTGAAGGGCGAAATTCTCGTGGAAGTCGCCCAAGTTGAAAGAGCGATGTTGGAGAGAGTCTACGCGAACTTCCAAGAACGCCTCCAGCACTGCATCAACGATTTCGGCCACCACATGCCTGACGTAGTTTTCCACACTTGACTGTCTCAAATGCTATTTCCTTGTGAACCTGATTCCATCAATAATTTTGTTTTCGAGTAAACATTAACTATTTTATGATTTTTTTAAAACCGTCCATCCTCTCTACCGCACCCTGTATATATATATATATAAAGTCTGATGCTTTTTAATAATAATAAACGTAATAGTCATGGAAATTCTAGGGACTTTGTTTTCCTTCCACCTTGAAATATAACGGTTCTTGGAACAACGACACGCGCACCGGTAAGCCCAGATAGCAGCATCTATCGAAAATATTTCTCATCATTCTAAGTTTGAAAGGCAAATTTGTGGAGTATATTTGGTAGGTGCATAAAGTTACCGGGGTTGAGAGCGTATAAATATACTAACATCAAAAAATTGAGACATACCCGCACCCACCCCTTACAACCCCCAATCCCCCATTTTTAACAACCGCAAAAACTTGTGTGAAAATAATCACGACCCTCTGAAACGTCAAACGATGAAGTTTGGACGATTCTTATTTTTTCGTGCTTTTACCCCCAGCTCCGCCACCACTGAACCGAACTTCAAAAACTACAAAGCTTTTTCGTCCTTAGAATGGTAGCAACCTTGTGTAAAAATTTAGTCCAAATCTGGGCGATATCGACAGACGGAAATGAGCGATATGGTTTTCCGTGATCATAGAAAGAACATAGTATCTCATTTTTTCGCGATTAATATACTTCCTCGCCCAGTGGCGTAGTAGATTACTGTATTGTATTTGTTGGTAGATTGCATTTGGCACTAATGAATTATTGAAGCAAGTTAACCTAAAACTATTTTCTATTTGTAGTAAGGCTACCAGTATCTCTTTATATGTCACCATCTACCTCATACATGCACATGCAACCTACCCATGTGTGTGAACGTTTGTTCGGTAAGCTCAGTAGCATACGTTTTTTATTTGTGTTTCTCCATCTCGAAAACTTTGTCGTTACGTATGAGTGCCGTTCAATCACATTTCAGAGTGACAACTTCATCGGCGTGCAATTCGAGTTGTCCTGTTATCAATCTTATCTTAATAAAAAATTCTATAATGCCCGGAAATACAGAGAAAGCCGACAGCTCGTGCTAAATTTATTAGTGTGTCCAGGAAGAGAATGAAAACAGCGGTCCCCTGTTACCCACTTCATGCGTACTGGAGAGAGTAGCAGATACACTGAAGATTAGTCTGCGCTGTGTTCTGCCCATAGTACGGAGACTCGATCTGTTTACTTATTTCATATAGCGTTAATGACGTAACCGCCAAGAACGCTCAGTACAACTATACCTGACTATGACTGACAACTGTGTCACTGGTTGCCAAGATTTGGACAGGACTTCGACAAATCAGTGGAGAAATGCTGATGGCTGAGATTAGTTTTATAAAATCACAATATTGGCCACCGATGGACGTCTAGACTTCGTTCATTACAGACTGCTCGCAGCTCGTAATTTTTGTGTTTGCAAACTTCCAAGCCCCCTTTGAAAAACTAAATCACTTGAGTTATGTAAGAAAACGAATAAGCTTTGTGAAATACATACATTGTGGCGCATCGAAAGCGAAACAGACGCATTTACTAGCAGCTCATTTTTTTTTTTGTAAAAACGCTCAGACCCCTCGATTTTGTTTTCGAGGGGGACACAAGTTTGGCAAAAAATCACGTTGGCACGCAAGCGGGGGTGACACCACACCCAAAATCTTAAATGGAAAGGGGGGTCGAGTGATACCTTATTTTAAAGGTCATCCCTTTATAATGATATAAAATTAATGTACTTCAGTTCAGTAGTTTTGCAGATTTATTGATTCAAAGCTTAAATAAAACTACTACATCATCATTAGTGGAGATCAATACATTTGGCAGCAAAGTAATTTAAAAATGAAGAATTAACTGATTCGTTAGGCAAGTAAATGTTGAAAATGGCCAACATCACTCTCCATGCAATAATAAAGATTTTGCTCAAAACGTTGCTGTTTTGCAATATTTGAGGAGTAATTTGAGGGCACCCGTTTACAATTCTTTGTCGCAGGTCTTCTAATGATGTTGGCTGAGTAGCATAAATTTTGCTTTCTAAATGACCCCACATAAAGAAATCCAAAGGTGATAAATCTGGCGATCTTGGGGGCCATTCAATCGCACCTCTTCTACCAATCCATCGATCTGGAAACGTCTGATCTAAATATTGTCGAACACGTAATGCGTAATGTGGTGGGGCACCATCCTGTTGGAACATCAACCTATTCGCAATGTACCGCCGATCATTCTGATTTTCAATTATGGCTGGTAATGCAGAATCTCTGGCGTCTTCCAGTAATTCCAAATACATTTCACCGGTCGAATTTCCAGGTAAGAAAAAAGGACCAACTAAATGCTCTCCAAAAATACCAGCCCAAACATTTAATTTTTGTGGCTGCTGTGTATGAACCTGATAAATTCTGGGATTACAATCGGACCAATATCGGCAGTTATGACGATTTACTACGCTATTTAAGAAAAAGGAACATTCGTCGGAAAAGCAAGTGTTGAATAGAAAATGTCCATCGTTTATAATTCGTTCACTCATATCTTCACAAAATTGTAATCGCCGATCAAAATCGTCTTCATTAAGTTCTTGTACCAGGCGAATTTTATACGGATGAAAACTATGGGCCTTTAGAATCCGTTGGACAGTACGTCGACTAACACTACACACAGTCTCCAATTTGCGGGTACTTAACGTAGGATCTATATAAACTTGCCCTAAAACCCCCACTTCTATTGCTTCGATCCTTATGGGATTTTCAATGTTCCGTTTTTTATTGGCGACTGACCCAGTTTCCCGAAATTTAGCTACAAGTTGTAGAACATATTTTCGATGCACATTACTGTTCGCATGTCACTCATTAAATTTTTCTGCTGTTCTATTAGTGCACTGATTATTTCCGAAAAATATTTCGATAATTTCAACTCTTTCTGCAGTGGAATATACCATGGTTAATTTATGTAATAAAGCATTACAAGTTATTTTAGCAACAAAGTTTGGTCAAATCAATCACAAACTATGTACTAAATTCCTATTTAAAATAAGTACGAGATATTTCCTTATCTTTCTTCAAGAACAAAATGATAAACAAACCATGGGCGTAGTGAAGAAAAGCATTTACCTATTGAGTAAATTCTTTTAGTCAAATTTCTTCAGAAAGTAGTACAACCTGATGTACCTATTAAAGTCTACTTTAAGCTTTAAATCAATAAATCTTCAAAACTACTGAACTCATGTATTTTTCATCATTATAAAGGGAATTGACAGACCTTTAAAATAAAGTATCACTCGACCTCCCTTTCCATTTAAGATTTTAGGGTTGGTGTCACCCCCGCCCAGGGGGCTGCACGTATTAACGTGATTTTTTGCCAAACTTGTGTCGCCCTCGAAAACAAAACGGGTCTGAGCGTTTTTCCAAAAAAAACTGAGCTGCCAGTGAATTCGTCTGTTTCGTTTTCGATGCGTTACCCTGTATATAAAGTCTGATCCTTCTTAATTATAATAAAAGAAATAATCATGGGAAATTCTAAGGACCTCGTTATTAATTTTACCTTGGAATATAGCGATCCGTAAAACGACGCGTCTATGAAAGTGTGACAAAAAGAAATGCCGTCTGGTAGGTTCACTATGCTCTTCCCACACAAGTCCGTCATGAGTTCATAAATTAATATGTTTATTACAAGCACTCTGAGAAAGAAGTTAGTTACGAACTTGTTTTACAGCGAGAGTGAACCATCAAGACAGTCAGACATATCTATTCTTTACCTGGCATACCGGTAGTACTGTCGATCTGGCAATGACGCTCCTTTCTCCACCTGACCGCGCAAGGCAGCGGCGCTCAGCGCGGCTCCGCTGCAGTACTGGCAGGCCAATCAAAAAGACCGCCACGCGCGCGGGTAAACCCTAATAGCAGAAACAGAGACGCGTATTGAAAACATCTGTCATCATTCTAAGCTTTTAAGGCAAATGTACGAGAAAGATAGTGTGGAGAATATCTAGTACCGAGGTTGAGAGCATATGAATAATCAACTGAACCGAGTTTCAGAAACTACAAAGTTTCTTCGTCCTTCACATAGTAATAACCTTGTGTAAAAATTTCGTCCAAATCTAAGCGGTACATATTTTACAAATTATAGACGGGCAAAGGATTGGCGGACAGACACACAGACCGATGGAAATGAGCGATATGGTTTCCTGTGATGTACATATATCTATTTAGCGTAGTAAGTAGAAAAAACATCCACAGTTAAATATTATTGTATTGTATAGTTTGTACTTGTTGGGATGAGAGTAACGAATAGTTAAAACAAGTTAACCTAAGACTGAATGTTTACCCTGAGCCAGCAACTACCTCAGGGGATTCTAATTTAACACCAAACTATGCAACTTTATTTGAATACGGATACTTATTCTTATATAATTTCACCTCACGTTAATATAAAGCATTGTACTTCACTGTATTATATGAAATCGTTATAACAAATACCTGATATACTTGAGGAAAGGCATATCGGTACACTAAACCACTTTAACATATTATCTCAGGGATGAATGTGCCGTATCTCCGATGAATAATTTTTACATCCACCTCAAATAAATGTTAATAAGAATGCCAAAACCCCATTTGGTGGCAGAGTGCAGAGTGATCCGTTTCGCTATGCGACAGACATTTACTTTTAATCTGCATTAGTCTCCCTACTTCAGCCATAGACGTATCCTCGAAGACCTTAGAAAATACACCTAATGCACCTACCAATTCACAAGTTAGTTACGACAATAGGAAAACGGCGAGCCAGAGATGAATAATAATAACTAAAAATCTGAAGCACACCATCAAGTTGTCACTGCCTGTGCAATATCTTGTGCCGAATTCTTCTGAGGGAACCTCGGAACGTGCGATGCTTTCGTTCAATTTTTTGCTATTCACAGAAATATTTGTTAATACGGATAATAATGAAGATTATCAGAGAGATACTAGAGATAGGAGGTTAAACTCATGGTGAAGCCAAAAATATCGACGTTGGAGTGTGTTGGTACACTGCGCAGCAAATAAATTTCATGTGCTGCACATAAGACATCTCTTTCGTGTGTACACTGCGCAGAAAGAATTTTAGGTTCTGCGCATGTGGCGTCTGTCTCTGTTGCTGTCATCGTGACTGTGAACAACTCCAAATTTGACAGTCCGGATGAGTTTTAAGCAAAAATAATCGATAATGCATAGCGAAGCGTTAGTGAAATGCACAAAAAGGTTATGTTGACATTCTTCAGTACGCAGACGCTCCGCACCATGTTCTACGCCTACTAAATTTCAGAAAGTCTCATCATTGTTTCATACAAATACATCTCTTACGCAGTCTTACCTCCCATCTCTAGTATTCGTGATTTGAACCTTTGCGAGCCCTCAGTTGACCCTACATGACAGAGATTTCACCAAAGGGGCCACGCCTATATTCCACTATCTGACACTGTTTATCAACTGCATACGCGGCGATTCATTCAGGTAACCCCACTATGTACTCCGCCCCCGGCGAATAATACTGGCAACTATGCCTAGCCACCATGCTCATACTGTAGCATGTGGCTTGTCTGTTTGTATATATGTCCATACAATCATTTTAAGAGCTGATAATACTTTCATTTGGAATAAATTATAGCTCAGAACAAAGTTGAAATGGTTTTGAGTTCTGCACATCTTTGTGGAATTCTGGAAGAAACATAATCATATGATAAACCATAGTTTATTCAATATTAAAGAGCAACTCATTTGTTCTGTTATTTTTGTGATTTATGTTGATGTGTAGTTTTCTTTTACTTATAGTCAGTATAAAACTTATGTACTTTTGGTTTGCTGAATGGATCAATTTTCCAGTGCTTTGTCGGTTTTGGTTTTTGTCGGAATGAATTTAGGGAATCGTTTGGTAGCGGTGTGTCCTTTTAAATTACTGTTGCACTTTTGCTCTTTCTTATGATAAATATTAGAAGCAGAATTTTATTTTATGGTAGAACAAAGCACTCGATGATGACAAAATTAGTCAATCAGTCAATATAAAAATGTCAATCATTATTTCTTCTTAATTTTCCGCCCTTGTTTCGTTTCGTTGTGTACTGGGATTGATTAGTACCGTGTAGCTTCACTGGAAAGATATGGTAGTAGTAGTAGTGTTAGTAGACATTTATTTACTCTATTATATAAGAACAGTAATAACATAGAATAAGTAAATAAATGTTTTAGTCCATAGAAGGACAATGCATGGATCAGTCGTATGTTGGAAGATGTTTCAGAATCAAAACAAAAAATCTAAAAGAAACTTAAAGAAAAATTTATATCAAAGAGGTGTATATGTAGGGGATGATATATATAATATATATTTCTATTGCGCATATCCATTCTGATAATTTCTTTTTAAAATTATGTGTATTAGCCCGCTTTTATGCACGCGTTTTTTGTCGCCTGTCGCGTGGCGACAAAAAACGCGTCGTTTTCTCAACGCATTGTCTTGTATGTAGCCATTTATGCATCAACGACGGTGAGCCGCTCGATGCCCGTGTCGCGGCGTTCTCAAATTTGGTCGCCTGGAATTTGAGAACGCGTGGCGACAGGCGTTTTGTAAGTACGTTGAATGGAATTTACGCTTTTATTCAACGCGTTTATTGTGGCTGATGCTATGATAGGAACTCATTCTCAGTTGGTGGGTGTTGTCTAAAGACTGAAGACGTGTGCTACAATGGAACATCTGGATGTCGAACTATTCATCGACGCAATAGAAAAACGACCATCTTTGTGGGATTCATCGTCAGGAGACTACAAAGACAGACAGCTTAAAAAAGACGATTGGAAGGAAGTGTGCGAAATTGTTATCCAAAAATTTGGGGAAAAAGATGAAAAAGAAAGGCAGGAAATTGGTAAGCATTTCATGTTAATTACTTTAATACATACACTTACTATTTTGTTTAAATCATATGTTGGTGTTTTGCCATGGCACAGCCCCTGCTGGACTGCTAAAATAGTCAGCGAAAGCATCTCTGTATTTGTAAGCAGACTTACGTCCACGTCCTTCTGGTTCTGCTCTATCATTATCATGCAGCCCTGTTATTGTCAAAGTATCCTCAAATCTGATGCCATCCCTCACACGAACAAAATTGTGTAATATACAGCAAGCTTTGATGATGGATACAGCGACTTCCTCCATCACATTCATCGGTCGATGCAGTATACGCCATTTGTTAGTTAAAATTCCAAAGGAGCATTCTACTTTCTCTCTTGCTCTAGACAAGCGATAATTAAAATTTCTTCTTTTTTCTGTTAAGTTCTTTGCAGGATAAGGTCGCATTAAGTTATTTGTTAGTCCAAACGCCTCATCCCCAACGAGTACATATGGCAGTGTTGTTTCTGCTACTTTCTCAGGTTTTGGGATATGTAAGGTATCTTCTTCCAATTTTCTAAACAAGGAGCATTGTCTAAACACCATGGAGTCCGATTCCTTACCATAGGACCCGACATCGATGTATATAAAACAACAGTTGCTGTCGGCAATAGCTAATAGAACAATGGAAAAAAAGTTCTTGTAATTATAATTCAGTGATCCGCTATGTGCAGGCGCGATTATCCTGCAATGTTTACCATCAATAGAGCCAATGCAGTTAGGAAAATTGGTACGTTCTGCAAAATCTTGGGCAATTTGGCGCCAACGTTGTTCAGTAGGTACAGGAAAGCACTCTTCCTGTAATGTACGCCATAGGGCAACGCAAACTCTTGGAATTAGAAGACTTGCCGTTGTGACCCCTAATCTGTAGCTGTAGTGCAGCTCTGTATAGGTACATCCTGAACCTAAATACCTGTAAAACAAAACTGCCATTTAGTATAACGATACAGTTACTTATAATAGTAATATCATGGCCAATCTCCTATGTTTCGGGGTTTCGGCTTAGTTAAATGCAAAGAATACGAATAATTGTCAACAAATTTTAGGTCTCTCATTATTTGTAGTGCATCTAAAACCTTTACTTTATATTATTGGGATGTACGACATATACATAGATGTCAAGGCTCGTATGAGAAACACATTTTTTTAAAAAAAATTTACATTTAGGTATCTAACATGTTATCTGTTTTTCCTTTTTAGGTAGAGAAATTCAACTTAAATGGAAAAGTCTGAGGGATGCTTATGTTCGTACCATTCGACAGTCTAAGGGAAAAAAATCAGGAGCGTCTGCTAAAGCTGTAAAAACGTACATCTATGCTAAACAATTAGAATTTTTACGAAAGGTGACTGGTTCCCGTCAGACAGAGAGCTCACTACCAAGTACATCAAGAGAGGGCCAAGAAGATATGGATGTTTCAAAGGACATAAATGACATGCAAAGTACTTCATCAGATGTCCAACATACTCAGTTCGACAGCCAAATGGAAACTGGACGAACTCCTAGTAGAAGTACTCTCTATAGAAGAAAGAAATCAGATTTAGAAAGTAAACTTGCAAGCTATATTGATTCCCATAACAGACAGCCAGCATTAGCTATACAAAGTCAACCACAAGAAACTGATGACATGGCCTTTTTTAGATCATTACAAGCAAGTTTAGATACGCTCACTCCGAATGAGAAATTGAATTTTCGAATAGAGGTCATGCAATTATTAAGCCGATATACTAACAAACAACCAAATCAGTATATACACAATTTTCCAAATCATATACCCCATTACCAACCACAGCAATATCCAGTAATGACCAACATCTCTAATATACGTTTTAATACGCCAGCACCTCCATTCGCATCATATTCTACAGTATCATCTGAGATCACACCTCATTTGCCTCATCCTAATACTGATACTACTGAATCACTTGCTGTGACGTCACCACAAACGCCATTTTCTCCGACGGAATCGGAAAATTCAATAATTTCACAAGCCGAATCACTAATATCACTGTTATCAAATCAATAATATGTATGAACTGTTTTGTTATAGTGTTTGATGTTTTACTCTTATTTCCTGAATAAATGGTTTATTTCTTCAACTTTCTCATAAACTTACCTCAACGTCATTGATAACATTTCTTCTGCTTCGAATGCACATCCTTGAATCAGCTCCCTATCTTTATTGAAAGTGTTTTTTAACTTTTCACATAGCTCATCAAAGGAAGCTATCGACATACGGTAATAATTAAAGAATTTGTCATTGTCTCGTCTTAGTTCTTTGTGTAGTGTATAATATGTGCCTCTGAGATTTCTTGCACTATTTATTGAGTGAACGCTCCAACGTCTCTTGCGTCTCTTTTTGATTATATATTTGTATGCCAAGTATACAACACACGGATCCATTATTTATCAATGCACCACACTTCCTTGTTTAGACGATACGATGGCCACTGATCTATCTGAAAGCGACACGCCACAAACAACGTTAGACAAAAGTTCCATTTTGTTTCATCTATAAACGCCGCGTTTTTTGTCGCCACGCGACAGGCGACAAAAAACGCGTGCATAAAAGCGGGCTAAGTCTTTGGGCATGTGTTCATATAATTTTGGAGCCAAATAGAGAAAATATCGCTTCATTATGGTTTTATGCGGTTTTAGGGACAGTTTTTGCTCGTAATTTATATCGTGTATCATGGAAATGTGTGATTTTATCGCGCGACTGACAACTTTGTGATAATGGGTGATATTTTCAAAATAAATTTGATTGATATCAAATCATTTTGTTTTGTTATATAAATCTTTTGTTGAATATAATTTTGGTTTTCGGAACATAATTTTTAAAACAGTTCTCTGTAAAACTTTGTCGTTTAAGTACATTAGACATGCTGAACGTACCCCTGCTAATATATAATACCTTAGGTGCGACTCAATTAAGGCATGATATATATTGTAAAACATGAAACCCAATAGACATAAATACAGTTAACATTTTCAGGAACATTACAAAACTTCAGACCAAATTAGTCACCCCAGCAGAAGTACAAAACCGTGATCTTAAGGCCAAACATATGGGGAAAAATATGTGTGAAATATATCTCAAATATGCAGAAAATTACCGGGCCTAGAAGCGTATGAATTCACTCATGCGATAGAATTGAGAAGATATTTCCTCCCCACTCTAAAAGTACCAGCCCTCAATAAAATTGAAGCATGAGCATAAAGATCTCAAACGTCAAATAATGCAGTTTCAGATATTTTTACTTTTTTTCGTCTTTTGCTCGTCGCTCTGTTACTTAATCGATTTTTAAATACTACAATAATTATTTCCTGTATTCGTTACATAGTTAACCACGTGTCAAAATTTCTGTAAAAGCGGGGTAGTACTTTTCGCATTATAGATAGGAGTAGCGGACAGAGAGGCCGACAGACAGACAGACCGATGAAAATTAGTGACATGGTTTTTTGTGATGTAGCATTCGTGTAACATAAAAAAAACATAGTATTTCATTTTCAAACTTTCTCGTGAGTAAAATACTACCTCGCCAATGGGCGTGGTAAGTAAGAAACTGATGTCCGTAGGATGCAAATCTCACAACTCTATCAGTATTTAGAGTTTTCACTATACCATCGTTCTCGCAGATTCTTCAGTCGCCTATGCATTCCATCAGATACAGCATACTTTTATATTTCCATACATTTCTAAGTGTCTCCGCCCATGGATGTTTGAGTGAGATATAGAGAACTCTCTAGCAGCTCCATACTAATGGAAAATACACACCGGCGACATTCGCAGAGTACGGCGACCGTGTCGGGAGTCTGTCTGCGGATTTAGATATTAAGTAGGTAATGCGGAATACGTATTAGACACCTAATTCAATTCCGAACTAACATATTTTACAGGGCAACTCCATTCCTGCCAACGGCGATTTCCAACTAACGCTGCACTGTCCGGTCTGAAACTCGATAGTCGTGTACTGAATGTGTTAGCCTTTGGTCATTCCGAATGGAACTAGGCGTTAGGTGTAGTTCAAAAGTGACTGAACAGACTTGGTTGTTTGCTATACATATATCCACTCTATACTCTACTGTTGGTAAATAATAATAATAAAGTGGCTTTATTGGTAACCTTCCACATTATGGAGAAGCTTAGCTTGATGGATAGTCTTCCACTTAGAATAGCTCTGACATGCATAGCAGGCCAGAAAGGAAATACTAACATTAGAAACATAAACGAATGAATAGGAATTAAAGAATAAAAAAGTAATAATTTGAGCACCGATAGATTTTTGCATCTCAAACTGTCTTCTAATCGATTTTTTAAAAGCAGGTAAAGCTTCTTGTTTGTTGAAAGTACTGAGTGAATTGTATAAACTGAACAGTATTGTACGTAAAAGGTTTTTGATACAATGAAGTACGGTGAAGACGAATATCTAACTGTGATCTTTTTGATGAGTATTTTGTGTATAAAAACTAATTTTAAAAAGTCAAAAAGATTTTTGAGCTTCAGCCTCTCCAACTCACAAATATACCTACGAAGTCCGAAAACAAAACGACAGCAACACGTTTGAATTTTCTGCAATCTGGTCTTTGTTATCTCAAGACAAGGATAACTCAGGATGAAACAGTAAAGCAGTTTAAACATAACCAAACTCTTTACTAATTTCTTTCGAGTCTTGAAATTGAGGATAGAACAATTGGAATATAGGAGCTTTCAACATATTACTGTCGTGGTGATGAAGTCTTAAGATTTACGTTTAAAGTAACACCTAAACTTTTTGCAAGTCTGACCAGTGGAATATGGACGTTATTTACCCTCAAATCGTCCTTTCAAAAAGTTCATAGTCGGGTTTAAGAAAGAATGACATTGCAAAACTCTTAGTAGTAGAACGAGGGACCAAGTACGGATCCTTGTGGTAAGCCAGAACAATATGAGCGCTGGCAGAAATTCCTCCACTTGTTCTCACACTTTTGTCTATTTAAGATTTTAAAAAATAAAAAAAAAAACAGAAAAACAACAGAAAGTCCGTAGTATTTTAATTTGGATAGGAGAATGTCATGGTTAACTGTATCAAATGCTTTAGAGAAATCCATTAACACTAGTAGAGTAGAAATATCAGTATCCAAATAATTTCATCAGTTACGTGCACTGATGCCGATGTAGCTACAGAACAATTTTTTTCAATATTTTCAATACAGTACACAATATACTGATTGGGCTTAAACTTGTGTGTTCTGTTGGGTTGTTATTCTTTGCTAGAGGCCTCTTTCCTCAAACTTGAGAAGATTCGTCTTTCCAAACAAACATTGATTAGATGATTTAATGCTTTTGGAATACACAACTCAATCATTTCTATGGTGAACTCATCAGACCCAGTTGCTTGAGATTAAATTGAAATAATGGTACCTAAGACATAATCTATAGTAACTAAGTTCAAGTCGTTGCAAAAATCGTATAAGTCTCAGAATTTGGATTTCACATGAAGCCATTAAAACTGCGTCATTGACGAATAAACCAAAAAAAAAGCATTTTTGGTCCTATTATTGTATGTACATTTGAAAGAATTGAAATTTAAAGTAATAATGGAAGAATCCAGAGAAGCTCATCTGCACTTGCTTTAGCAGGAAGCTCCATTAAAAAACTGGCATCAAGCTAGTTGACTCTGCACTTCCTACGCAACGCCGTTATCAGCTCATAAGGGATTATGTTCATCAAAAACTAGACCCTCTGCGAGAAAAGGTAGTCAAACAAGTCCATACAGAGTCCACATACATTATTTCTCTGCCTTACCGATCATGCATCTGGAAACGTCGCCTCTCTCCGATTCTTAACTTGGTCAGACGTGGCAGTGCGATCAGAGCATAGGAAACACTGTGCTGTGACACAGCAGAAGTACGTGATACGATACCAGAACAACGGAACACACCGCAGCTTCGGCGGGTAGATACGCGATCCATCTGCCGAGAATATTTTTAAGAGGTTAAGAAGTTTTAAGGGCTAATGTTCAGAGAAATCTGTGATGTGTGAAATATGTTTGATAGATGCGTAGAATTTCCAAAGTTTGGAGCGTATAAATGTACTAACTCGAAAAATTTAAATAAATCCTCTACACCTCCTTACAAACTTCAATTCCAAAAATGTTTACCATAATGTTTTTGATTAGGACCCTCAAACGTCAAAAAACAAGGATTGAGCGATTTTTAATTTTTAAGCCTTTTTCTCTGCCGCCACTGGACCAAAACTTACAATGCATTTGCGTTCTTGGTATAGTAGACTGTGAAAATTTCATCGAAATCCGAGCTGTACTTCTCATGTTATAGGCAGTTATAAGACTAGCGGATAGACCGACAGACAGACTGACTGACATGGTTTTTCTTAATGTACATGAGATAAAACATCCAATAAACGACAATATCTCATTTTCGAGAATGTTCGCTATTACAGTACTTTTCCGCCAATAGGCATACGACGCTATTATATGTCAGACCATATACACAGTGGCATATTTTCAGTGTAGGGAACGTATTGTACACCTAAAACTCATCCTGTATTCTATGATGCCAGAGAGCGCTACCAGCCTGTCAAAAATCCGGTACATTGCATTTGGTAGGATTTGACAGCATAGATGACCATAATTAGCATAATATGTATTAGAAGCTGAATGATTATGTTTACATCAGTGTACTGAAAAATAGTTCTTTTGTTTCAGACTGGAATCTCCTACACGGAGCCTTGAGATCAAAGGTTCTAAGGGAGTACATCTGGAGTCAAGAGGAGGTGGCATCGGAGCCGTGGCCTTCAATGACATTTCCTTTAAGTAAGTTTTAATCATTTTTGCCTAACTCCATGATTCCTCTTAAAACTGCAATCAGAATTAAAAAACAGTTGGATCGTGTATGATGTTTTTAAGCTTCGCTCACATTTCAGTTACACCAGCAACATCTTTAAAGTATCCTAGAATATGTCTCCGGGATATATGCTTACTTTGGACATAGAATATAAAAAGTTTCTTAAGTAGCACCTACTTATAAAAAAATATCGTTACGGGACGGTTTTTCCAAACAGCTTGATGTTAATTTGATAATAGTGGTATGAAAATGATTCTTCTAGGAAATTATAATCCATTTGTCTTCTGAAAAAGGTATTCTTATGTGGTATTCACAAAAAGGCCCTCTTTACTTACCATTGTAAGAGGCGAATTTAATATTGTAATCATGATAAGGTGCGAATTTGATTTGCTATGGCTTGTTTGTCTGTTAGGTAATACCCGACCTATCTATAACTGGAAAATATCACCAAATTTTTCTCAAATTTCTACAAAAGGTTGCCATTATAATAAAAAATAGGTTTTTTAGATTTTGCAAATTGATCCAGTGGCGGAATGAAAGGGGGAAAAATTGGCTTTAAAATTTATAAAAGTGCTAAAGGCCGTCTTCTTTTAAACTTTTAGCGCGTATGTAAATATTATTTCACGAACATATCTTTTGGATGTGTTAGATTTTAATAAAGCGTTAGTATATTCTGCCCCTGCTCGTGTCATGTACATGTGGGGTAATTTCAAAACTGGATAGCTCAAGATTAGTAGTGCAATGAAACCTTTCCTTTTCAACAGCAAGCAAGTGTACAAAAATTATGACGAGCTTCATACTGGTTCTCGCAGTGTAGCCAAAACTATATCCGATGTCCGTCCTATATTAGCTGCTCTTGGCGCTTTTCTTGCTTATCGAAGAAGAATGTCCGTACCTTATACCGTGTCTGGAGAGTAGGCTTTATAGATACGAGTGACGACGTTGATTTTTTCAATACTCCAACCACCACGAAGGCCTAAAGCCTAAACCGTGGGGTTAGAGGGGATACAGGGCAAAGGGGGGAACGTCACACGGACTCTGGCGAGGGAACACGTGTGCATGCAACATGCACACATTCTGGCCCCGCCTACGAGATCCGCTGGGTGGTCCCTCCGCGTTCGACAGTCAGAGTCATCTACCACCTACGGACAATCACAACATCCATAGCGAAGAAAAAAAATTATCTTGGGATGGGATTCGAACCCTCACAGCGCACGGCGACTGATCAGGAGACCGAAGAGTCTACTACTGCGGCCACCGCTGCTGCCTATGATTGGTCAAATAAGCAATTTCAGGTTAGAAAAAAAATTAATTGCAAGCATACATCTGATAGTAAGCTAAGTCATGTAATATTACGTGTAGGGCCATAAAAGTTAAATAGATATGGGATGACATATAGGTTTTGAGAATAACTGCTGTTTTCAGAAATGGCCCATCCTTGTGTGGACGGAATATTACTCAAAAGCAAATACATTGTGGGAGAATCTATTAATGGCATTTTAAACATGACAGTTGAGAGCACATTTCTAAAATATTGGCAATTATACAAGGTGTCCCAATTTTGACCCACATATCAAAGTTGTGAGGCCAAGATATAGGCCCATCACGACCGATCCAACGATTGTTAGTAGAGGTGTTACGCACACGATTATGATAATGCGCAGGTGCGCCGTCATGTTGGACGTAAATATGCATCCGAATTTGCAGGTTGACATATTCCAAAGGAAAAGGTAAATGTCGATAACTCCTCCCTAAACATTCAAGCACCTATGCTGTTAAAAGTTGCATCATCGCTAAAAAGAACCTTATCCAGGAAAGTAGTGTTTTCACTCACTTTATTTAGCATTATTCTACTAAATTCCATCCGAGCTGCGAAATCCTGAGGACGAAGGCGTTGATGCAAGCATATGTGATATGGATGGTACCTATGCTTGAGAATAATCCTTTGGACAGAATATCTGCATATATCAGTTTCTGCTCTAATTTGCCGTGCACTTAAATGGGGATTTTCCCTAGTACCTCCAACTGATTCGCCTCATTGGTGACGCTTGGATTATTTATACAGTTTTTACTATATCCAACCAACTGTTCCCCTTGATTCAAAACTTTTTCGTGGTGTGGAAACTGTTTCCGGCCTTGGATGTCGCATATTAGGATACCCTTGCTTATAAACGCGAGATGCTAGGAAACTATTTCTTTGGACTTCGCCCAAAACGAACACCATATTCACCTTTCTTATTATAGTGCTCACAAAGCTAATTTCGACAGTTTCTAACTAATCAACAATATATTTGTTTACAAGGATGACGCGATATTTTAGGGAATCAAGCCGTTCCATAAAAGACGTGCTAATAACCGAATAAATAGCCATAAAAACCCTTATGTGTCCGGTATCAAAAAAAACTTATAAACAGTTGAATCCAAACGTGCATAAATATACAGGGTGATGCTTTTGAAATCTTTGACAAAAACTACAATTGGCGTTGTTGACCACCCTGTGTGAGCAAAAATTAAAATTGGAAAAAGTAACAAATAAGATAAAAGCTGAGGTGTGTAAGTTTTTTTTTACACAAAATTGAGCACGCCACAATTTCAAAATGATGGACTGAGGGGCTGCCGAAATGGGGGGTTTTTCTAGACAAAAAACATCTTATATCTCAGTAGCTAATTACCAAAATCATAGTATGTTATATCAATTTTCTTCTATTGAATTGGTTTATCCAAATATGCAATAAAATTTAAGGCATACCAATTGAAAAATCACAACGTCGATATGTAGGTCGAAATTGACCCAATTTTCGAAATGTGCTCTCAAATGTCATAACATCCCATAAATAGATTTTCCCAAAATGTATTATTTATAAGTAATATTCCGTCCACACATGGATGGGCCACCCTGTACATGCTTGCATTCCAATTTTTCATAACCTGAGCATATTTGAGCAATCAACAGAGTCAGTCGCATCTATACAGCATCCCCTTTAGTGACTTCACCGAGCTATCTAACAGACAAACACAACTAGAACGTTTGTTCTCTTTCAGATCCGAAGTAGGAGCCTTACGCCTAGATACAGCTTCCATCCTGATGCCAGCTCTTCCAACAGCCAAACCGACCTCTCCAGGCCACCTGAAGTACTCGAACCCGCAACCTGCGGGCTTAGGCTCCGCTCAGTCTGCACCTGACATCTACCAACTGTGCGTGTGTGAAAGCGGAAAACTGTTTTTGGCCTCTCCACATTTAGTGTGCGCATCAGAAAACGACGATCGCGTGTGTCGATAATACAGTGGCTGTTATGTGACTCGAGTGTTGCGCGCGAGTGTAGATAGGGCTTTAGAGGTTTGTAACAGAGAATGGGCTGATGCTTGTAGTGTACATTAATTACGTGATTGTAGAATGCGATCGGAGCAGGAGTGCAGCTAAAAATATCTGCTAAAGATACGCGCCCACAGGTTCTTCCTGGAAGGATTTCAAAATTCTGTGCATGATTGAAACGACAAGTGCGCCCACTAATCCGCCCAAAACGGTCAACCCGACATCTCACTATCGACAATCCGGAAAGGACATCTCAAAGAGGTAACAATCTTGATCCTTGCCGATGATTAGATACATCATCATGGGCTGAAAGTTCTGATTACAGAAGGCCACTTCGGGAAGAGTCCGATTCTCACAAGTACAGATGACGCACTATCACAATTTCATCCGTTTGAGGCGAACAGTCCGATGTTAACGATTCTGACGTTTTCCTATTTGACAGGGCAAAGCATTTGTAGCCACTCTCAGGCAGAAAAACTCGACAGTATTGTCTACCGGCTTTTCCTGCCCGAAGTGTGAGATTCTCCAAAAACGGCATATTAGTAAAAGTATTTCAGTATTTCTTCATTGTGGATAGCGGTTCCTTGGTCTATTTTTGTTCTCCCTCAACTTACTCAGCATCATTTGCCCCACTATCGACCGAATATTAATCCATTTTCCGTAGCTTATATACGTGGCAAAATTGTCAGCAGTGAGCCTGTCGCCGAGCGTCAATTCCAGCTGTGAATGGCAGTGAACCACCCACCTACTACATTCGAATAGGTGAGGAGTATGGTCCCCTTCATTGCAATATACGTAGTTCCTTCCCTCTTCAGGTAGCTGTCAAAACAACAATGTCCTGTGAGGAAGTATAGCGGGGTTATGTGCAAGCAGCCTTCTGGTGCATGCAACTTGGCCAGTTGCATCCTATTTCTCCAGTTATCTAAAAAAACGCGCCACTTTTTCGTCGCTTGTAGTTTCGACGCCCTTTTTATAGAGAGCACGTTTCGCCGCTGCCAGCAAGTCAATCGGCAGGATACCAGCTACCACCAGCAGTGCATCGATCGACACCGTTGTGTAAGCGCACACCACGCGCAGCACTGCTTTTCACTGGTTTCATCCCTCAGATGGCATTAACCGTATCAGAGATACAACGACCTTATTCACCTTGCGCGTTATACAGGGAGTTCGTTTGAAAACTTCCCCCATGGATTTATCGAGGGCCACTGATTAAACGAAGAAATGCCGATACACGTCAAAAGACTTGTCAAGTGGGACAACTTTTCAACCAAAAACTACTTCACCCCCTTTCACTCTCGGCCCCCAGGGTCATCCCCTTGAAAATTTTTAATGATAAGGGGTACCGAGTGATAGCTTGTTTGACAGGCCTTTTGAAGTCCTTTATTTTGACTTACCTTCTTTTAAAATCAATTCGTTTACAAGAAAATTAGAAAAATCTTTATTTATTTTAATTTGTTCAGAAAACAAGAACACACGAACATACGTTTTGCATATAGAAACATAGTAGGCCGCGCGGATCGAACGTCAGTACTGAATCTTAACCTCACTCTTTAGTAAACTTAAATTCAAAGTTTCACAACAATACGTACAGTGTTCTCACTACAGTGAATTTTTAAGTGTCACCAAGTCAATAGAAAAATGGAACTCAACCGAAAACACTTTCGACCCATAACTTATTACAGCTTTCAGAGACAATTATCACTGGACAACAAATTTTAGTTTTTTAATTGTATCTTGTGGGAAAAGTGCACTTCTTTGTTAATTTTGGGGCGCTGAATCCAAAAATGACAATGAAATAAAAAAATTAGTTGCTGTTTAGAAAAAAACTTTTTATTTTTAAGGATATATTAAAAAAAGTAACAAGATTCATATACTTATAAGAATCACTATATGCGCTGTCTTTTTGCTGTTCTTTTATGGATCGTTTCTGGAGCACCTCTACCAAGAGTCCAACAGTAGTCTGCAAGCATGGAAGGATTCCACTTTCCCTGGTACCTTTTTTCCGTTGTTGAAATATCCTGATGAAAACGTTCGCCGTGCTCATCACTTACGGCTCCGCAATTGTCAGGAAAAAAGTCCAGGTGTGAGTGTAGGAAATGTATCTTAAGAGACATATTACAGCCCATCTTTTGATATGATGACAGCATATTTTTGACAAGGGTTTTATAGTTGTCAGCTTTTCTATTTCCCAAGAAATTAGTGACCACCAGACGGAAATCATTCCAAGCAGTTTTTTCAATACCTGTTAAAGTGTTTTCAAACTGTGTATCTTTCAAAATATTTCGAATCTGTGGCCCAACAAAAATACCTTCTTTAACCTTTGCCTCACTTAGTATTGGAAATTTCTGACGCAGGTATTGAAAAGCTGACCCATCTCTATCTAATGCCTTGACAAAGTTTTTCATTAGGCCCAACTTGATATACAGTGGTGGTAATAAAATTTTTTTCGAATCTACTAATGGCATATGCTGTACATTTTTTTGACCTGGCTCTAGGAATTGACGAACAGGCCAGTTTTGTCTGGTGTAATGAAGTGCCTTTGCTCGACTGTCCCATTCACACAAAAAACAGCAAAACTTTGTGTAGCCTAGCTGCAGTCCAAGTAAAAGTGCAACAACTTTCAAATCGCCACAAATATGCCATTGGTACTCATCGTATTTTATGCATGTCAATAGGTACTTCATATTGTCATATGATTCTTTCATGTGAACTGCATACCCTACAGGAAGAGATGGTAAAATATTTCCAATATGCAATAACACTGCCTTTAAACTCAATGTTGAACTGTCTATAAACAATCTCCATTCTTCTGGGTTATAGTTTATATTTAAAGCCGCCAGTAAGCCGTTAATGTTACTGCAGAAAACCAAGTTATTCTCCATATTGAAAAATGGTTCTAAGTCTTTGTGGCGTTTACGAAAAACACATACCAAAACATCGTCTTCTAACAAGTTCCGCTGCTGCAGTCTTGATCCAAGTAACTCTGCCTTACATTTTGGAAGTTCTAAATCTCTTACAAGATCATTTAATTCTGACTGTGTTATTTTGTGCGGTTGGTGGCATGACGTACTCGGTATAAAATCAGGATCTCTCAGGTCCTGACGAATCACTCGATCGCCATGATCTGATTCGTTTTCTGATTCGCAAGTATAGGATTCTGGGGGTTTTGGAATAGGATTTTCGTCACTTTGAGTCACAGGTCTCATCGCAGATGGTATGTTTGGGTAGTTAATAACCGATTTTTTTTTCTTGGACATACCTGTGGCTTGTCCAACACAAGGTACCATGCAAAAGTAACAATCATTAATATGATTTGTAGGCTCTCTCCAAATCATTGGGACAGCAAAGCGCATAGACCGTTTTTTGCCATTTAACCAGCTCCTCAGACTTGAAGCACATGTATTACAGCAGATGTGGGGTGCCCTGTGTTGGTCTTGATCACCTAGTTTACAACCGAAATAAAGCTGATATGCCTTTGTTATTAGTGGAGTAATAGACCGTCTCTGAGACGCAAAAGTCACATCAGCACACACGTAACAAAACTGATCTGGATTGTTTACACACCTTCGAGACATCTTGCATGAACGCTGTCAGCCAACTGAGGAAAAAATGGCTAATATAGAACAATATAATGTACACGTATGTATAACGTAACACAATCATGCCGATTACATCATCTTTCCTTGCCGAATATAAAAATGTAGCACGTGCATTCTTGCGAATTACACTATATTAACACTGTCACAGCAGGAACACATATAATTACCGTATCTCTAAAACTTGAACTAATATTGAAGAAATAAGTTTCATTCCGGTTTTAGCACATTAAAAATAGTAATATTTTGTTGATTTTATTTAGGATATTGTTTGGCTGTTGATCAGTGTTATCGCAACAAGAATGGCTTGCTGAGTTACTGTCTGTTTTCGGCAACGAAGCGCCACATCAGTCGACAATTTCCCGTTGGTATGGAGAATTCAAACGTGGACGGGCGAGTCTTAGCGACGATCCCAGGGTGGGTGCACCAAAAACGGCAGTCACCAAGGAAAACGTGGATCCTGTGCGCAAACTCATCATTGAAGGTAGACATGTGACATATCGCGAGATTGAGGCGTCCTTGAAGATCTCAAAGACCTCAATTCAAAAAATTTTACATGTAGAATTAGGAGTAAGAAAATTAGATACTGGTTGGATGCCCCACTTGTTGACTGAAGAGCAGAAAGCAGCAAGGGTTAATTGGTGTCAAAAAACACGTGACCGTTTCAATTCCGGATACTCAAAAAATGTGTACAGCATTGTTAGTGGTGATGAATCGTGGATGTACTGTTATGAACCAGAAAATAAACGATAGTCGGCTGTTTGGGTGTTGCAAGGTGAAGAAAAGCCAACAAAAGTCATCCGTTCTCGAAGTGTTTCGAAAAAGATGGTCGCGACATTTGTGTCAAAAGCGGGTCATATTGCAATAATTCCTCTTAATGAGTAAGGAACTGTTACTGCGGATTGGTATACCACCATTTGTTTGCCGAAATTTATCACCGAGCTTCGAAAAATCAACCCCGAAAAAAGAATCATCCTCCATCAAGACAATGCAAGCTCGCACACAGCCCAAAAAACAAGGCCGTATTTAACGGAAGAAAATGTGGAATTATTGGACCATCCTCCATACAGCCCCGATCTAAGTCCTAACGATTTCTTTACTTTCCCGAAACTTAAAAACACTGCGTGGTCAAAGGTTCCAGTCACCAGAAGAAGCAGTTGACGCATTCAAAAATGCCGTTTTGGATCTGCCAACAGACGAGTGGGATAAGTGCTTCGAAAATTAGTTCGAGCGCATGCAGATGTGTATTAATCTTCGTGGAGAATACTTCGAAAAACAATAAAGTCATTTTAAACTACCCACCGTGTTGTTTTATTTCCATATGCAAAACTTAAAAGACATCCCTCGTATAACTTTTTATTTCAATAAGTG